GGTCCGGGCTGGGGATTCGAACCCGCCACCTTAGGTGTACGTGGCTGGCGCCTTAGCCGGTTGAGCTATAGGCGCTGAGCCTAGAGCAATATTTCTAGGTATTTCTGGCTTACTTTCAGGGAGAGGGGTTCTAGCTTCTTTGATCCACTTTGCAGAACAATGATTCTGGTTCTGAATCATGTTGGGAGAGAAATGGGTAAGAAACAGCAGAGCAAGAGCAGGTCAGAGAGAGACTTTGCTTCTGAAGGCTGACAACCTCCTTTTGTTCAATGTACTTAGCTTGCTAAAGTGCCATACTTTGGAGTATCATTTTTTGAGCTCAAGTAGTCTTTTCATGGCTCTTAAGATAAAGGCCAGAATTCTCACCTTGCCATTCAAGAGTGCCAGCGATTCCTTCTCCAGCCTCATCTGTAGTACTTTTTCTTCTCTCTCTCTGCAGCAATCACACTGCCTTTCCCAGTTCATCCAAACTGTTGTCCTGTTAATACCTTTACAAAAACTCTCCTCTGCCCATCCCATCTCCATCCTGCAATCACTCCTCATTTTTTGACTCTCAGTGAGTACATGCACACAGAAACAATTCTTTTTTTTTTTTTTTTTAGAGACAGCGCCTCAAGCTGTCGCCCTGGGTAGAGTGCCATGGCATCACAGCTCACAGCAACTTCCAATTCATGGGCGTAAGCGATTCTTTTGCCTCAGCCTCCCACGTAGCTGGGATTACAAGCGCCTGCCACAACACCTGGCTATTTTTTGGTTGTAGTTGTCATTGTTGTTTGGCAGGCTGAGGCTTCGAACCTAACAGCTCTGGTGTATGTGGCTGGCGTCTTAGCCACTTGAGCTACAGGCGCCGAGCCAACAGAAACCATTTTTAACATTGCCTATCCAATTAGTGTTAAAGAACAAATTATTCAAACATATTTTACGCTCAGCACCTGTAGCTCAGCGAGTAGGGTGCTGGCCACGTACACCAAGGCTGGCAGGTTTGAGCTCGCCTGGGCCTGCTAAACAATGACAACTGCACCCAAAAAGTAGCTGGGTGTTGCAGCGGGTGCCTATAGTACCAGCTACTTGGGAGACTGAGGCAAGAGAATCGCCTAAGCCCAAGTGTTTGAGGTTGCTGTGAGCTGTGATCTCACAGCACTCTACCAAGGGTGACATTGTGAGACTTTGTCTCAAAATAAATAAATAAAAATAAAAATAAAAACATGTTAAAGTAGACTTTACTCAGGACATCATGATAGGTATAGAGATCATGGCAATGGGATTTTGAGTTGGGGAGAGATTGGACAGGAGAGGAGCCCAGCATGGACAAGTGGAAATTTATAGCCAAGAAGCACGGTGTGTGTGTGTGTGTGTGTGTGTGTGTCAGGTGATGTAAAATTACTAAGAGAAAATATCTGAAGGAAAAGGGATTCTGGCTAAATTGACCAGATAGGATTACTGATGAAAATCAGACATCGCTTGGGGGAGGATGAGGACATTGATCAAAACTGGAGGTGATCAGATATTTGAAGGAGGACGGATTCTTGCCCAATATCTTAGCGAAGTTCTTTGCTAAAACAGGGTTTTACAAGGAAGTGCACAGATGGGCCTAGAAGAAGGCTTGGGAGCCTAACTAAAGTTTAGCCAAGCTGATAAATCTTTGTCATTAGGTGAGTATCACAACACAAGCATTCCAAATATCATGTTTCTTTTCCTTTCAATCTATAATTCTCTATTTGTGCAATAAAGTGGAAGCCTATCATCCTCTAGGGCCCCCACCAGTCTAGTCTCTAAGTTCCAAGAAGAAAGGAATTTTATCCTGCTTTTCTCACCATTTTTTTTTTCCAGTGTAATACATGAACGCATGGGAGATGCTCAGTAAATACTTGTGCAAGAAATGAAGAGGACAAGATGGGAAGGAGAGACTTAAACGGGGGAGGGCAAGGATGAGGACAGAGGAGAGGAAAGAAGAGGGTGAAGGAGGGAAGCACAATAAAGGCGATGGGAAAAGGGAAGACAAGGAGCGAAGAGAAGGTGTTGATCTTTCCATCAGGTTACTTTCAGAAGCCGTCTGCTTCCTTGAGGTAGCAGAGGTTCCACGTGAAAGTGTTACATAGTAATTAAGGATTGGGAGCTTCGGATTTAAACTAGATCTGGATTTAAGTCCCATTCCGCTTTGCAGCCTTGAGGCAGTTACGCACCTCTCTTCTCACTATCTGTAAAATGAGCCCGAGGAGGATGTGAAGATGAAATGAAACGACGCCTGCACGGCTGGCTCTTGGGACATAACTAGGAAAGGTCAGCACTCACAATTTGTCGCGACAAGCATATCCGGAGCTGGGAAGCTCCCAGCACCCACTCGGAGGGGCCCGACCCGCCCCCCGCTTGCGTGACCAGTCACCCATTGGTCGAGTCGCAGCAGCACTTCCACCAATCCTCTTGGCTCAAGAGAGAGAGCGTGCCTGAGGGCAGAGCCAATGGACGCAGGGATTCTGGTCTCCGGGATACAGGTGTCAACAGCGGCGGCGTCCCCGGCCTGGCTGTCCCGGCATGGAGTGACGGTTACAGACCAGAGTCAGGGTCTGGCATTTGCTGCTCGCGCCAGGCTGAAAAACACGGCACATGGCACAAGGCCGGGAGCGAGAGGACACCATCTACGCCACCGGCCAGTCCCTGGCCGTGAGGTGTGGCTTTTACCGCTCCGCGACTGGTTTCGGTCTCGCGGAAACCGCTTCTGACCTACATCCCCTCTCTGCCCTGCTCTTCCTGTGTTTCCACGCAACTTCCATCTCCTCTCTGTCATCCCCAACGCTTTCCTGTCCCTTCCTGTGTAACCTCTGCTGTCGCTCCCCTTCCCGGTATTCAGTGACCCCGGCTCCAGTTGTCCCCTCGTTTTTTCTGCCACCCGAACCCTCGCTCGCTTAGTCAGCCTTCCTGTCCTCCACCCTTCGTTTCTGCCTCCTCGGTCCGGCTCAGGATTCCCTTCAGTGATCCGGTTCCCTGACCTTTCTTACACAGCTCTCTCATCCCCATCCCAGGGACAGCCTCTGTAGCCATCCTCTTCTAACTCCCAGCCACTAACTTTGGGTTTATTTGCATTTATAATGGCCTTTGAAAAGCATAAAGCACTGCACAGATAAGAGCTATTTCTTTCCTAGAGCGTTACCCGCATACAGCATCCTCCACTAGTCCTGTACTCTCCAGTCTCTTGAGATGCCTCACCAATCACAGTTCTCCACCATCTTCAACGATCTCTTTAATATTTAAATAAATATATAATCTCTTTAATCTCCGACTCTCCTTCCTTCTAACATGTTACCACACACTCCTTACTTAAAGTATGTTCCTTTTTGTGCTCTAACCTTTTTCTTCATGTCGACTTCATTCCTTTTATTTTCTGCATTTATGTGTATTTTTAGGTCTAAAATGTGGTAGAATATTGAAATGATTTCATCTCCTAAAAGAAGCTGTTTTTCTGCTCACAACCCCAAAGGGTGCTTTCCTACTCAAAGTTGTTTCTTAAAGTTTTTTTTTTCATGTTTGACCAGGAATACCAGTAGGGAGATTTAAAGTTTATTTTTGAAATCAAGGTAATTTATAAAAGAATGGCTGAGGGTGCAACTTTCTGTTTTTAAGGGAGGATCAAACTCTTTTCTCTCTGTTGTTTTCACTTTTTCTTTTCTAAGTATACAAGACCCCAGAACTGAGAGTTTCTCAAGTTTGTCAGAGAGTTTTCTTTATTGAAAAAGTTCTCTGAAGAAGGCTACTGAGGCCTATGGAAGTTGAGGTCTACGTTCAAATTTCGGTAGTTCACTAACTCAAATTGATTTCACAGCCAGCATGTGTTTTTTTATCTTAGAGATTGTTTTGGACAGAAATGGTATGAAAATGAATAGATATGTTTCAAAGGTTTTGATTAAAACCTATCTTTTCTTTGTTTAAAAAAATGTATTGGAAATGTATTATATTGATGATGATATATCTCTTCCCAAAGATGGGTGCAAGGATTCCCTAAGCAGAATGTTCATTTTGTCAACGATAACACCTTTTGCTACCCTTGTGGGAATTACATAATATTTATTAATATTGAAACCAAGAAAAAGACTGTACTGCAGTGCATTAGTGGAATTGTGGGCGTCGTGGCAACCAACGTTCCCTGTGAAGTTGTGGCTTTTTCTGACCGGAAATTAAAACCCGTGATCCACATATACAACTTTCCTGCATTGACCAGAAAGACCAAATTAAAAGGTATCCTTTACCTCTCTTCTTCCCAGAACTGAAGGGTTATAAGATGTGACCAAATCTAGTTATTGTAAATGAAGGTGGTTTGTTTATTTGAAGTTATTTTAAAAATATGCATTTTTAAAAGAAGGAATCGAACTGATCACAGAGTATTTAATTAAATAGACTAGAGCCTTTCCACTTCAAGTGCAGTCTGTATACCAGCAACACTGGTAAGCTTGTTATAAATGCAGAAACTTGGCTCCCCTTCTCCCACATCTACTGAATCAGAATCTGTATTTTAACAAAATTCCCCAAGTGAATCACATGGGGATTTGAAAAGTGAATCGCATTAAGTTTTGAAAAGCACTGGGCTAAAAGACTGTATTACCTTTTTTAAAACAATGAATTTTGTTCTTTCCTAAGGATTTATCAAAAATCCAGGTGAATTGATATTTGTATAACTTCTACAGAAAAGTAAGTCTCTGAGCCTCAATTTCCTCATCCATGAAATGGGGATAAAGGTCACTTAATGTCAAGGCTGTGGTGATGATAAATGAAATCGTATATATGTATACACATATATAGTATATGTATGAACATGCATATCTGTGTGTGTGTATATATATATATATATCTCGTATATGTATGTAAGCCAAATGCTCAACATTACCTGCCATTTGAATCACTACTGACTCATTCCTAGATACAGCTGACCCAGACTGAGCTGCTGTACGTCTACTGGAGCCTCCATCTAATAATTGTAATTTATCATTCACTACACCATGGACAGAAAGCTCATACTTGAGTCTAGTCTTAGTTGTGGAGCGTTATGTAGTCAAATAAGTGTTTGGGTGAAGTCAGGGAACTTCACTATAATTTGTAATATTTTATTTGTAAATTTGTGTTCTCAACAGATTAAACAACTTTAAAAAGGTAACTCACTCACAGATTGGAAACTGTCTAGATGGACTATTTATAACTCCCCTTCGTCTTTAAAATTTCTCCAGCTTAGTTATTTGGTTATAGCCCTATCCAAGCTACTGAAAGTTAATCCAAAACAAATGGCCAACATTAGATAATCCAAAACAAATGGCCAACATTCATTTAATCATGAAGCCCCCAAAGAATTCACAATAAGGAATGTGCCATCAAGGGTACCAATTATTACCACCATTATTTAATATCAACCTAGAAATTCCAGCCAGTGCAGCAAAATGGCATGAAAAAGCATGAAAATTGGATAGATGTGTTTCAGAGATTTTGATGGCTTTTTCTTTTATTTGTTAAAAAGGAAAGAAAGAAAAAGTTTTTGAAATATATTGCTGATAACATAGAAAGATTCCCTAAGCAGAATGTTCATTTTGGCAGTGACAATACCTATTGTTATCCTTGTGGGAATTATATAATATTTATTAAATATTGAAACCAAGAAAAAGACTGTACTAAGTATATTAATGGAATTGAAAAACCTTATAGCTACAGGAAAGGAGATTACAGGTAATGCAATAGTCTACTAGGACCATTTAAAGAATGCTCAATAAGACAATAATTTCAAAATAAATACCCATGCAATTAGATGATTTATGTATAAAAATAATGCAAGGGAGAGATCTGAGTGACCTAGATGAAGAAAATTACAAAAATCACAGGTTTAAAATCTTAAACATGTAGAAACATATTCTTGAATGGAAAGCGTGGTTATTAAAAATAAATATATTTTTGATATTCATCACAGAAGGTAATTCATAGGTTTGTGACATGTTTTAGATAGCAAGGAGAACTTCAATGAAATGATTCCAAAATTAATCTGGAGAAAGAAGTAGAGAATGAGACTAATCGGAAAGAGAATGATGGCACGGATAGAGGTCATTTTAACATCATGGTGCTGTAGTAATTAGGAGTGTGGTACTAGTGTAGGGATCACCAGGTCAGTGGAAGAGCTGGTCAGGGGACAGAAGGGTATAAAAAAGCTGAGTAAATGATGATAGAAGTCCCTCCCCCAAGCAGGATATGTATTATTCAGCAATGGTATTACAAAACATTTGAACAGGCTCAGCGCCTGTGGCTCAAGTGGCTAAGGCGCTAGCCACATACACCTAAGGTGGCGGGTTCGAATCCAGCCCAGCCCCCCAAACAACAATGACGGCTGCAACCAAAAAATAGCCAGGCGTTGTGGTGGGGGCCTGTGGTCCCAGCTACTTGGGAGGCTGAGGCAGGAGACTCGCTTGAGCCCAAGAGTTGGAGGTTGCTGTGAGCTGTGATGTCACAGCCCTCCTACCCAGGGGGACAGCTTGAGGCTCTGTCTCAAAAAAAAGTAAATAAATAAATAAATAAAAAACATTTGAACAAAAGTATCAAGTTAGATATTCATGTTATACTGTACATCAAAACTAAGGAAGCATTCACTATAATAACAGACCCATTTGAAAGGTAGTAGAAAATATGGTAGAATATTGAAGTGATTTCAGGATGGAGAAGAACTCTCTACATAAAAGAAAAACTTTGAAAGATTAGTATACCACATATTCGATTATATACAAATTTTAAACTTATGAACATGAGAAAAGGCAAATAAACAGGAAAATATTTGGAACAAATCAAATATTTTCAGAGTATTTATAAAGCAGTAAGAAAAAAGACAAACATCCCTCTAAAGCAATGTCAAAAATTTAAAAAAAACTTGCCTAGACAAATCACAAAACTCCAAATGACCAAAGACAGCAAAAAATGTTCCATCTTAATATTCTTTTTGAAAAGTATATTTTAAACCAAGATGCTATTTTTCTGCCTGTCAAAGTCACAAAAGATTATAATTGCTAGGCAAAATACAGTGAAATTGGTAGCACTCTTATTCACTGAAAGTAGGAATGTAAGTTGATAGAGTCTTTCTGGGAGGTAAGTATTAACACCCAGTATACCCACTGGGTAAGTATTGACCCAGTATACCCACTTCAAGAAGTAGAATAATAAGAAATTAAAGAAATAATAAGAAATATAGTTAAAGGTTTATATGCAAAGGAGTAAAAAATACTGTCATAATAGCAAAAGATTATAAACAACCCACATCTCCAGTATTATGAACATGGTTAACTAAATTAAAGGGGTATTATGTAAAGGTGGGTTTTAAATTTTTTTTTTTGTACTTTTTGGCTGGGGCTGGGTTTGAACCTGCCACCTCCAGCATATGGGGCCAATGCCCTACTCCTTTGAGCCACAAGCGTCTCCTGGTTTTAACTTTTTGAATAAATATTAAGCGAATGATAAAATGCTCAATATAATATAAATAAAAATACCAATAGACTACAACACTATATATGATCCAAATTCCACTTTTAGGTGGAGTGTTACATATGCTATTTAATTCATGGTTAATTTGTATATATTTTTACACGTGAACACACAGAAGACAATATTAGAAAGAAACTTGGTAGATTTGGTGGTAGGATTACTTGGTGGTAGGATTATATTGTTCATTTGCTTTCGGGGGGGATATTTTTTCAAATACCACATTTTTTTTACATTTAAAGAATAAATCAAACTAATAATCTTTAATTATAGGAAGAAATGTCCATGCAGCAAGGGTAGAATGATTTTCCTTGGAATATAGCAAGGATTTTTTTTCTATCAGCCCATAAAAAAAATTTTAATTTTTGCATTAAATGTTCACTAAATGTATGGAGGGGTGTTGACTATGTTTACTATGCTAAACAAATTCAGTAAATGACAGAAGTCACGTTTTAGGGTTCTGTTGTGGTCAGTTAAAATACGAAGGGTTAAAAGAAGCAGAAAACAATTATTAAAAATATACAGAACAAATAACAGAGATACAAATATAAGAAGACAGAGCTACTGAAGGCAAAGATTGCACCTTGGAAACACATGAAGGAGAGAACAACATACTGCACAACAGCACCTAAAGGAGAGAAAATCAGACTCCCATTTACTGGGAAGCACAGATAGACACTTTCGTGTTTTAAAATCTTCATCACACATGTTTTAAACGTTTAAAAATGTTGCGACTTTTAAAGTCATGTTGCATTTCTTCAACTATAGGTAAAACTAAGAATAGAACTTTTTATAGTTGTTCCAAGAGCTGAAAGATACTATGCTAAGGTAAAGAGATAAGGAAATAAACTAGAATTATTATAATTTACTGAGGCATTTAAAGTTGTTTATTCTAATCCTCATTTATTTATTACATATCGTATGGTTCTTGGGTCTTTTCGAATCATGCTGGGACATACATGGTACAATAGGATCACTGTATTGAACTCTAGGCACAGGAACCTAATGGTCTTAATTCACTCTAACACATGTACCTTTTAAAAAATGAAGCTTAACTGTGCTCATAGCTTTCTGATCATAGTCTTAGAAATCAGCCAGTAGATCTCTTATTCTAACAGTTAAATAAGTGAATCCTAACAGTTGAATTAAGTGAAAATCATTAGAAAAGGGAAACAAGCCATAAGACTATGGCTAATCTGAACTTGATGACCAAATCCTTGTAATTGGGTTTTATATTTTAGGTGATGTTCTTCTGGATTACACTTTACTTGCGTTCAGTTACTGTGGCACCTACCTGGCTAGTTACTCCTCTCTCCCAGAATTTGAACTGGCCCTTTGGTAAGTTTCTGCATCCTGCAGGAATCTTTTCACTGGGTTATATTTTACTCTTACCCTTCTGGATTTTAGCAAAGGAAATATACATGAAAATTTTGAAACAAGGAAAAATAGAAGGGAAAAAAAATCCTCATTGTAAAGTTTAATGTAGTTGCTATGTTTAGACATAAAATTTGGCAGTCAGGGTTTCAAAAACAATGTAAGAACTAAATTATTGTCTTTCTCTTTTATTAATGTGCTGTTATATTTTCTTTCACAAGTAAAGAACACATTTATAAATACACGCAGTTCCATTTTTTTAAAAATGGCATCATGGAGTTGTTTTGCATGTTTTTTCTAATGTTGAAATTTAGACAGTGTCTACATTAGAGCTCAGTTTGAAGTGGTTGTTCTTAGAGACATTAAAAGAGTGATATGTTCAGAGAGTGCAGCATTATAGGGCTTTTGCCAGATAAATAGGCAACACCTGCGTCTAAGACGCACTTCTCATCTTCTCTGGGTCATTTCATGTGGCCAGCTTCAAGGCTGCACTCACTTTTCCATTCCAAACTCCTTTTGGGGAAATTTATCTTACTAAGGGGAAATATATTACAGAACATTCCAGGTATGATTAAGGATAACATACTAACATTTCTTATACAAAAATATAAGAATCTAGGTTCAGAGTAGCCACATTTAGATTATATAGAGTTTATTTAAAAAATAACTTTGTTGAGATATAACTGACATATAATAAATGTGTCATATATAGAATATACAATTTGATAAGTTCTTTTTTTCTCGAGAAAGTCACACTATGTTGCTCTAGGTAGAGTGCTGTGTCACTAAAGCTCACAGCAACCTCAAACTCTTGGGCTTAAGCGATTCTCTTGCCTCAGCCTCCCTAGTAGCTGGGACTCCAGGTGCCAGCCACAGTGCCCGTCTGTTTTTTGGTTGTAGTTGTCGTCGTTTCGCAGGCCCAGGCCAGCTCGAACCCACCAGCCTCAGTGTATGTGGCCGGCACTCTACTCAGTGAGCTCTGGGCACCAAGCCAATTTGATAAGTTTTGACTTAGGTGTATGCCCATGAAACCATCACCATAATCAGGATAATAAACATATCCACCATCCCCCAAATTTTCCTTCTTTTCCTTTGGATTCCCTTTATTGGCCCTCACTGCTGATGTGGTTTCTGTGACTCTGGATTCGTTTGTGTCCTCTAGTATATTTCACATACAGGGCGGACAGGGAGTCGTAGAGTGTATATTGTTTTCTTTGGTCTGGCATCTTTCATGCAGCATAATTATTTTGAAGTTATCTTGTGCTGCTATGTGTGCATCAATAGTCATTCCTTCTACTCCATGGTATGTATATACCACACTTTATTCACCTATGGATGGATATTAGCTTGCTAAGGATGCTATAATAATAAAGTCTCACAAACCAGAAGTCCCCAACCTCTGGCACCAGGGAGCAGTTTCACGGAAGACAATTTTTCCATGGATGGTATGGGGACTTTATGTTTTTTGTTTTCCCAATCAAAAGACAGAGTATTTTATTTATAAAATAAAACACAACCATACCCTATGATACAATCATTTTACTACTTCTTTTTTTTTTTTAGAGACAGAGTCTTACTTTATTGCCCTCGGTAGAGGGCCATGGTGTCACAGCTCACAGTAACCTCCAACTCCTGGGCTTAGGCGATTCTCTTGCTTCAGCCTCCAGAGTAGCTGGGACTACAGGCACCTGCCACAATGCCTGACTATTTTGTGTTGCAGTTTGGCCAGGGCCGGGTTTGAACCCGTCACCCTCGGTATATGGGGCTGGTGCCCTACCCACTGAGCCACAGGCAATTTGATTTTTATTAAATCATAACCGTGTACATTTATGGGGTACAATGTGACGATTTGGTATACAATGTGGAATGCTTAAATCAAACTAATTAACATAACCATCACCTCACTTTTTTGTGGTATGACATAATATACTCAGTTGTTTGGGGGATATAGTTTTGACATCAGTCTGTAAGCAATTGATTTATTGTGGTCTTATGGTCTCTGTGCAGGCAAACCTCTCTGCTAATGATAATCTGTATCTGTAGCCCCTCCCCAGCACTAGCATCACTGCCTCAGCTCCACCTCAGTGTTCAGGCATTAGGAGCCTGCAACCTAGATCCCTCCCGTGTGTAGCTATCGTAGGGTTTCTGCTACTGTGAGAGTCTAATGCTGCCACATTCTGACAGGAGGCAGAGCTCAGGCAGGGACGCACACTGGAGAGTGGCTATAAATATAGATGAAACTCTGGTTATATACCCACCACTCACCTCCTGTTCCTAACCTGCCATGGACCAGTACCAATCAGCAGCTCCAGGAGTTGGGGACCACAGTCTTAAACAACAGAAATGTATCATCTCACAGTCCGGGTGCATAGGACAGAAAGCAGCTGAGGAAAGAAGACAGTGCCTAAGTTCTGATAGCTTCAAAAGCAAAAGACTCACTTGTCCTCCTTTTTTTTTGAGACGGAGCCTCAAGCTATCCCCCTGGGTAGAGTGCCGTGGCATCACGCTCACAGCAACCTCCAACTCCTGGGCTCAAGCGAGTCTCCTGCCTTAGCCTCCCAAGTAGCTGGGACTACAGGCGCCCGCCACAACGCCTGGCCATTTTTTGGTTGCAGCCATCATTGTTGCTTGGCGGGCCGGGCTGGGGATTCGAACCCGCTACCTTAGGTGTATGTGGCTGGCGCCTTAGCCACTTGAGCCACAGGCGCCGAGCCACTTGTCCTTCTTAAGTGCAACTGGAGAATTTTTAAAAAGCAGTGAAGTGGAATGAGCACAGATGTTTTAGTATAACAGACTGGGGCCAGAATCCTGGCTTTACAGATGACCAGCAGGTCTATAATCTCAAGAGGCTGAGCATCAGTTTCTTCCTCTGTAAAATGGATATAGCAGTATCACCTAAGCATGATTTTTTTTTCTGAGAATTCATTGAGTACAAGTATGCACAATACTTAATAGTGTTTATTACCTGGTATTTATTTAAGTCAGAGATTAAAAAATGATGATCTTTAGGCTAATTCTGGGCCACAGATGTATTTTGCTTAGCATGTAAAATATTTTTAAAATGGGATAATTTTACAGAAAACAATTATCTTTTTGGCCTCTCTCAAACACAGCGACCTTAGACCTATACTCCCACATGGAACAGTCTGTTGTGTGGAGCAGTGTAGTTGCTGGTTGATATATGAGTTAGGATTTAGGCTCAGTGGCTGACATAGAAACCTGCATCACCAGCAAACATTCGTTTCTTTCATATGAGCAGTCTGGGTGTGAGTGGCCCTTGGGAGGTGTGATGGCTCCTGAGTATCAGCAGCCACCTCCCGTCTGCTACTATCTCACTGCTCTCCCATTTCTAGGGTGCTGCTCTCATCTCTAGTCTAAAATGGGGCACCACTCAGGTATTTTAGGGAGCCACTGGGGAGAAAAAAGGAAGGGGGGCAGGGCACAAACCCTCTGTTGAAAATGCACAGCTTGGAAGCTGCACACAGCACTTGCCCTCAGGTTCACTGAGCAGCTTCGACACAAGCCACATCTTACAACAGAAGATGCAGGAGCATACGGCCCTCACTGTGAGTGGCCGTGCGCCTAGCCCCAACCCAGGGGTTCTGTTACTCTGAAATGGAGAACAGATGTTGGAGACACACTGTGCCTTTGCCACAGATAACCAGAGGTAGAGCTCTGGAGAGAGGTCTGGAGAAAAACATCTGAGGGGAGTTAAATCAATTGCTAATCAAAGCGATGAAAATAAAAACGAACACAAGAGAAGCTCAAGACAGAACCTGGAGGAGCACTGATGGAAGGGACTGAATGACAGGAACCCACATAAGTGACTCACAGGAGTAGCCCTGTGGTGGGGGGAACGCTAGGTGGTTCCAGAATAGCCTCAGCCTGGGTTGCACAGAAAGCAGAAGCTGAGGCACAAGCTCTGAGCCCATGTGGGGGGTGCAAACCCAGGGGAGGAGGCAGGGAGGGTCACCGCCGTGAAGGGGCATTATTCTCCTGCCACCCCCACGTGGCACCAAGTGCAAGTGATCACTCTGTCTCCAAGGTGGTCTTCTCGGAGGCTGGTCGGGCTACTGTGAGTCTGGACAGTCCAGGCAGTGACAGACTGTGAGTGAGGAAGAGGAGAGGGGGAGAAGAGAATTTATACCTCAACTCCTGTATCCCATCCTCTAGGGTGTGAACTCCGCATTTGCAGGTTTCTTGTTCACAGCCCACAGGGAAGCCCTGCCCATGCGCAGCTGGTGTGTGGTGAGGCACAGGCCGGGTGTGTCCAAGCCCACACAGAGCCAGGCAGGAGAGGTGGTGGGCCCAGGCTCACCTGGGGCCCAGAGGATATGAGCTGCCCCAGGAAAGACATGACAGTTTAGGAGTGAGTCCAGAAGGCAGTTGTGGGACCAGGGTGCAGAGGTAAAGTGACACAAGGACCTCAAAGTGCTGCTGGTTTAGGATGAAGGAGCTGCCTGTGGGTCTCAGAGGGAGCCATGTTGGGATGGTGCTGACAGGATACAGAAGTAACTCCTGCAAGAAGTTTGGTCAAAGGGAAGAAGAGAGAGACATAGAAGGGAGAGACTAAGAGAAGCCTTTCTTAAAAGGTGGTGAAGGTGAGCACTCATGCGTTGGCAGGAAGGACGCAGAAGAGAGGGAGAGTCTGAAGATGAGGAAGAGAAGACTATGGGTAGACTGATGATTCTAAAAAGGCAAGACAGTAGGGTCCAGAGCCCAGGTGATGAAACTGGCCTTAGGTAGGAGGAAGGATGTGCCTTCCGTGGTGACAGGAGATGAGGAGGAGAGAACGGTGTAGACCCTAACAAGTAGTTATATTTAATAGCAGGGATTTGGGGGAGTTCTCAGCTAATGGCCTCAATTTTAATCATGGAAATCAAGGCCATTTTCTGAGACTGGGAAGGTGGTGGAAGGGAAGAATATTAAAAATGCTGCTTTAGAGAATGGAGAGAGAACTGACCAGAGAAGCACAGCAGGGTTGGAGAGTGTGTTGAGGATCTGGAGAGGGTGATAACCATGAAATTGATACAGAATCTTTGTGTGATGTCTCCAGCAGCCCAGGCTTCCAGTGTATCCATCCAGGGTTGATGGTTGCCAGGTACGTAAGGCAGAAAGTCATAGGATCAGGGAAATGGAGACAGCAGCAAGGGAATGGTGGATGTGATGGACAGGGCATTTCTGCTGGGGAGGGAGGGGGTTGGTGTAGGAGGGAGCCGGAAGACAGTCAATCTCAGCAAATGCTAGTTCCAGCTTCCTGCCCATAGCCCTGGCTGGAGTGCTGGCCCCACAGATGAGGGCAGGGCTCACATTTATTTTTGTCCTTTCCTTTCCTTGTTCATGGTAGAGCTTCAGGACAGTCTCTCAAATGAGCAAATACATTCCTTCTAAAATACTATGACTTTGATTTTAAAAACTCAGTAAATGATCAAAGGGCTTAGATAAGTATAGTCACCCAGAGCCATATGGAATACTCAGACATGGTACTTCAAAGACAGGGGCACCTACATTTGGTTTTCAGCAACTGTGAAGGTATATTCCATTTTGTAGGTTTGGGTGAGTTATATTCAAACTTAACAAGGTAGATAAAATAGTCTTGGTTGGTGTAGCATATGATGGTGTAATATTTTTAAAATATGTAGTCATTTTGTTTTCTTAGGCTACAATATGATAATAAGCATAATTGTTTATAAATTTTAACATTCATGTCATAGATTACATCAATTGTGTTACAAATTATGTCCCGACTTAAGTAAATCATTTTAAAATAATTAGATATTCTCAAGACATGAAATTCAAATTATTTTTTTCGTCAAATGCTATTTTCTTCTAAGGAACTGGGAATCAAATGTCATTTTGTGCAAGAAATTGCAGCCTGATATGGATGTGAGCCAGATGTCTTTTAACCCCATGAACTGGTGCCAGCTGTGCTTATCAAGTCCAACTACAGTGAATGTGTGGACCATTGAAAGAAATAACCAGGAGCATTACTTCAAACCAAAGTAGGAGGCTTTGTTACTTCCCAACAACAATGTGGTGGACTTTGCATTCATGTAATGTGATTGGGCCAATTTGATGAATTAAGTGGCTTTATACATACATACGCACATTCACATACACACATACATACAGCTTATCTTTTATAACATCTTTCTACCTATATAACTATCTTGGGGTAGTGTTTGCATTTCCAAAGGATTTTCTGTGGCTAAATTTCCCAAAGATTTTCTTTTAAATATCAACTTCTCTGAAAGCTTTTTTGAACATGGCTTAGTTTTCCAAAATTTAATTTGTTACTACTGTTTTAAAGCCTGTCTGTTATATAAAAAGACAGTTATGACTATTGTGCTATTATTTTGATGCTCTACTATACTCTCAAAAATAAGAAACTAATATGGGAAGCACACAGGTTATATATTCAGCTACATTGTCCACAAACAAAAGGGTGGTTGGATATATTGGAATCATAAGAGTTACCTGTGTAAGCAGAACTGAGTCAAAGAGAAATTCTACAACAAATGTCCCAGTGATAGTGGGTATCTTTGATGAGAAAGAGCTAAAATACTCAAGGTGCCACTGAACTGACCGTTTTTAGGATCCTCCACAGTCAGATCAAGAGGTGCAGGATAGGAATATCTTTGAAATTGCCATTTTTGAAAAATCACATTTTAAGAGAAATGTGAAACTAATAAAGTTTTCAAAACTTTGAGAGCCTAAAAGAGACCCTCATTGGTCCTTTTTATGTCTCAACTTTCACAAGAACCCACTGATTAAGCAAACCTGTCTCTAGTCAGAGTTGACAACGCTGTACCTTTTAAGAAAGTGGATAATATCTCTATCAGATCCTTGCCAAGGCAGGCAAGTAATTTATCACACTCTTTTCTCTCTGTACTTCCCTCAAATGTTCTATTCTAGTTTTGAATGTTGAGTTGTGACTTTTCTATAAGGAAATAAAATGGAAGAAAAGAGGAATGGATTGTCCTGGTTCATAATGAAAGCAGGATTTGAGAACCCTTAAACCTTACATTTTAGTAGTAGGTACCATTTTTTTGTTTTTGTTTTTGTTTTTATTTTTTTGAGACAGAGTCTCACTGTGTCACCCTCTGCAGAGTGTGTGACGTCACAGCTCGTAGCAACCTCAAACTCTTGGGCTTAAGTGATTCTCTTGTCTCAGCCTCCCAAGTAGCTGGGACTACAGGCACCTGCCACAGCGCATGGCTATTTTTTGGTTATAGTTGTCATTGTTATTTGGCAGACCCGGGCTGGTTTCAAACCCGCCAGCTCCTGTGTATGTGGCTGGCGCCCTAGCTGCTGAGCTACAGGCACCAAGCCAGTAGGTACTGTTTTTATGGGATTGTTTTTTGAAATTATCATTCATAAACCTAACCAAGGAAGTTTTAAATTTCATGCGTTAGGCCACGAACTCTTCAAACTATCATAAATGTATGACAAATTTGAAAGTGAATTCTTGATATCAGAGGTTCCAAACATAGCTGAATATGGCCTACATATATATTTATTTTGAGCCACAGTGGTTTTAATTCAAATTAGCTGCTAACATTCAAAATTGAGAGATTTCTCATAAATATCCGTAGATATGATATTCTTGTAAAATTTTGGAACCAAAATTTCACGTCAACAACCATCTTGGCTGGAACTGAATGGTGCTTGCCACCTTGACAAGGAGCAAACACGTCCCCATTTGTCACAGTCCCCAACAGCCACATAGGACCTGCCTATACCCCCATCAGCATTCAAATTTACAACTCCTGTGTTAGAGAGTAACTTTGAAAAAATTTTGATAATCCCTCTGTACTTAATTTAAAACTGGGTATAACTTGTCCTTTTATAACATATTACATATATTTTAAATATACCATTTGGCTTTGATCTCCTTTTTCATTTTTTATGAGTTATAATACCTCCCCACTTCTATAACTACTGACATGAAGTGGTTACACCAATGATTAGTTTCTGTTCATCTGATTGTGCCTGGTGTCTCTTCTTCTACAGGACGGTAAAATTACCTCTAGAAGATGGGTCATTTTTGAGTGAAACAGACGAAACTTTCCCCCAGTCATTGCCCAAAGATCCCATCTATGGACCTGTGCTGCCAGTGTCAGCCATTGCTGGACTAGTCGGTGAAGAGGCAGAAAACTTCAGGGTAACTACCTGGGGTTTTTTTGCAGTTTTTTGGCCGGGGCCAGGTTTGAACCCACCACCTCCAGTATATGGTGCCGGGACCCTACTCTTTTGAGCCACAGGTGCCACCCAACTCCCTGTTTTTCTAACAGACTGAGGTTAGGAAGTGAGATGTCATCCTGCCATGCAGGATAAAGTGGATCATCTTAGGTTTCAATATGGATTCACCAGGGAGCCTGGGAGAAATGCAGCCCCTGGAGTTTTAGGTTAGGATGACTGGGATGATGATGGCACTGCTAACAGAAACATGGAGCCCAGATGTGATTTCCATCTGGACATACTGGATTTAGAGTATAGGAAAGACATCAAGCTGGGGGTGCTGGGTGGAAGTTGGCAAAGTAGACCTTGTGTTAGGGAGGAAGAGATAGGGTCAGACAGAGATGTCAGTCCTCTCATAGACAGGATGGTGGGAGCCCTGGGGGTGTCATGACCAAGGGAGAAAGGGCACATAAGAGGGAGAAGAGCAGGGGCAAGCTGACTGCCCGAAGTCGGGAGGAGAAAGAGGAGTCAGTCTGCAAGGCACAGTCCCAGAAGGAGGAGTGATGCCAGAGAGAAGCACAGGCTGTAGAAAACAGAGGAAGAAGTTTCAAAGGGGGATTTTGTCCACTGTCATGCATTCTCCATTCATTCATCCACCTGATGTTTATTATCAAGCTCCTGTGTAGCAGGTGCTGCTTTAAAGAGTCACAGGACAACCAACCAGGGGTGCCACCTCAGGGAGACAGAAGAACAACAAGTGAAGAGATACAATAAAACACTGCAAGATGTGATCATTATTATAACAAAATATATGGAGTTGGAGGCAGCAAAGAACAGATTAGTCAAGGAAGGTCAAGGAAGGCCCCTGGGGAGATGACACTGAGCTGAGAGTTGGAGGTCAGGGAGGTATTTTATTTTATTTTATTTTTTTTTTTTTTTGAGACAGAGCCTCAAGCTGTCCCCCTGGGCAGAGTGCTATGGCATTACAGCTCACAGCAACCTCCAACTCCTGGGCTCAAGCGAGTCTCCTGCCTCCGCCTCCCAAGTAGCTGGGACCACAGGCGCCCGCCACAACGCCCGGCTATTTTTTGGTTGCAGCCGTCATTGTTGTTTGGCGGGTCCGGGCTGGGGATTCGAACCCGCCACCTTAGGTGTATGTGGCTGGCGCCTTAGCCAGTTGAGCTATAGGCGCCGAGCCCAGGGAGGTATTTTAGATGGAAGAAACTGCATGGGCAGAGGTCTCAAGGGCATCCACCTGGGGTGAGGGCTGCAAGCAGATTATTTGAGGATCTTTTTGCTCATCTGTGATGTTCCATATCCCAAAGAGTATGCACGGACCTTTTCTTTTGCTCATCAGCTGTCCTTATGTTTGTGGATTTAATGTATGTCCCAAGGCAACTCTTATTCTTCCAATGAGCAGCAGAGAAAAAAGGTTTGACATCCTGCTAGAGGAAGAAGAGAACTGGTCTGTGTGAGGAACTGAGAAAAGTCCAGTAGTTTGGAGCAAGAGCAAGGGGCAGGGAGGTGCAGGTGGGCTCAGGAGGGAGGCCAGGAACAGAGAGCAGCACAAGCGTGGCCTTGAGGTTAGGAGATTCCCTCCCTCCTGAACCTGTGCTATGCCCATGCTTCTGTTAAACCAAGCCAGAAGGTAGAAGTGGAAGAGGTTCCTGAACGTTTTTGACCACTATAAAGAATTAAGCTATAAATGTTAAAGATAATTCAATGTGAAAATTTATGATAAAAACCTCTGTGGCAAGCAAGAGAAAAAGTTGCATGTCCTTGATTCAATTTTTTTAATCATGGAAAGAGATTACAGTCAATGCTCCGTATCCAAGGCTTCCACAGCCATGGATTCAATCAACGGTGGATCAAAAATATTTGGAAAAAAATGAATGAATATGTACAGACTTATTTCTTGTCATTATGCCCTAAACAATACTGTATAACAACTATTTACATAGCATCTACATTAGGCATTATAAGTAATCTAGAGATGATTTAAACTGTGTAAATACTATGCTGTTTTTAATCGGGAACTTGACCATGTGCAGGATTTGGTATCCGTGGAGGTCCCTATACACGCTGAGGGATGGCTTTAATTCCTGTTACAGCACAGGTCTTTGCCCTGGATATAGTATAACCACACTCAGCCACAGCGGGGCAGCAAAGTAAAAAAAAAAGAAAAGAGATCAGCCATGGAGATTTTCAACTTGAGAGGCAGAGCATGGTGGCTCATGCCTGTAATCCTAATACTCTGGGAGGTTAAGGAGTTGGAGAGCAGCCTGAACAAGAGTGAGACCTTGTCTCTAAAAATAGCTGGGCATTGTGGCTGGCACTTGTAGTCCCAACTACTCCAAGGCTGAGGCAAGAGGATCCCTTGAGCCCAAAGAGTTTGAGGCTGCTGTGACCTATAATGATGCCACAGCACTCTAGCCTGGATGACAGAGTGAGACTATGTCAGTAAATAAATAAATAATTCACGAGGAAATGTTAATAAAACCATATACTTTGTATCAACTACTCCAAGGCTGAGGCAAGAGGATCCCTTGAGCCCAAAGAGTTTGAGGCTGCTGTGACCTATAATGATGCCACAGCACTCTAGCCTGGATGACAGAGTGAGACTATGTCAGTAAATAAATAAATAATTCACGAGGAAATGTAATAAAACCATATACTTTGTATGTATGTATGTATACTTTGTAACTTTGTAAGTTAGAAGTTGATTTTTCCTGTGGTTTACTCTTTCAATTTATACATAAATAATGTGAGGAAGATGGCTAAAACATTAATGTCTGTACAGTGACTGAAAACATAATGAAAATAGATTTCAGATGTCTTGATCCCGTTCCTTCCTTTGAATGTTATTTCTTTTGACCTGAGTATCAAAGGCAAATAAATCAGTAATGACTTGGTCTATATTAAGGATCTTAAAACTTGGCAAGTTGGGGACTTTTACAAAATTGCAAACATTAAATAGTACCATTATCTTGCTTGTAACAAGACTAGAAGTTTCCTTTTTCCATCTACCCTTTTTATTTTATTTTATTTTATTTTTGCAGTTTTTGGCTGAGGCTTGGTTTGAACCCACCACCTCTGGCATATGGGACCAGCACCCTACTCCTTTGAGCCACAGGTGCTGCCCCCCTTTTTATTCTTTTAAACAGAAATTGCTAAATAGGAATCTCTTTTATAAACTCAGATATTTTGAAACATGTTTGGATTTTTACATTTTTCTAAAGCAGTATTAATTTAAACTCCAATTTGTCATGTTTGATTTCCACATCAAAGTGTTTGTTAGTTGATTCCAGGGGTCTGAAAAAAGGAGATGATATTATTGACAAATATTTTTAGACTCTACTGACATCTTTCCTATTAAAATTCTCAGAACTTTCAGAATCAAAAATTGTTGTTTCTGCTCACATAACTCATATAATATCACAGTCACATTTAAATGACACTAGACATGTTTATTGGTGAAAGAAAGTAATAGGAAGTCAAGTCCAGGTTCATCTTAAAGAAAGAAAAGCCACATACAATGCTAGTTTAACATACAAAGGCCAGAAAGGTCCAGGTTTTAATCCTTACATTCTGTTTCATACACACAGATTCAACGGTATTGAGAATAAGATGTTTGGTGTTATTGCTTTTGTTTTAAGCTTTTGACCCTATTGTTATACCAGATAAGAGTCTATATTTTGGGGATTTATAGTCTAAGGTTAAATGTCAGCAAGACAATTAAACTTTTAAATAATAGCAATTCAGTGAATAACTCTTTTCTTTATGAGACAAATCTCAGTCAGATACAATAGAAATGTCATTAACCAGCAGCAGTTTAATCCACTTGGTTAATTTTGCCTTTTTCTTTGTCCACTGGGTAATCAGATTATGATTCAAGTATTTATTTTATTCCCCCCTCATATTTTTATTGTTTGGGATTCATTGAGGGCACAAAGAATTAGGTTATACTGATTGTATTTGTTAAAGTCCCTCTTATAATTGTGTCCCGCCCCCAAGAGGTGTGCCATACACTGTGACCCACTACCCTCCTCCCTCACCCCTCTCCCTCATTCCCCTACCAACCCCTTGTATTAGCTCATCTACTGCCTTCACGTGAGAATTGAGTATGTTGGATTCTTGCTTCTCCATTCTCGAGTATTTATTTTCTAACTATCCAAGATTATGAGGGAATGAAATAGCCCAATAATACAAAAAGTCAATCTGTCCTTTAAAAAAAATTGTTATGGTGAATGCTCTGTGTGATGGCTGCCTTACTCACATTTCAAGGTCCAATGACATTTCTCTCTCTCCAGTCCCCTCGCCCCAGCAAGAAGAACTCATTGCTTTCTCACTGCTGCTCCTGTGCTAGTTACACACCTATCTACTCTGACCTACCATGTTTTCTGATTCTGATGTTTGTGATTGCCTGGTGAGAAGAGGGATCCCTTAGGATCTGGTGCAATCCTTGGTTATATAAGCAACTACTGAAATATCAATCATGCCACAAATTTGTATCAGTTGAGAATCTAATAGAAATAGTTATTGGGCAGTGCCACACTTACCACTACTTTGAATCTACAAATGTTGTGTAAATTAAAAGTACTATATAACATATTATTCAAGCAACTGAGTATTTATTAGAAGGATGGTTTACATACATCAGGGATTTTTGGATAGAAAAATACAGATTCATAATCTTCCCCCACTGTGAAACCTATTCCAACTCAGCCTGCTTTATTTTTTTCTCACAGCACTTTTTGATATACGTACTCATCATACAAATATATATATGACACAATATGCCCAATATGTAATAAATATTGTTACACCACATACACATTCTATGTATTTAACTTCCTAATTTATTTTCACTCTTTGTTTCCCCTCACCAGGTATAAACTGCATGCAGGCAGGGATTATTTTCGTTTGTTTGTCTGTTTGTTTGTTTTTGGTCTGTTTTGTTCACTGCTACATCCCTGTGCTCAGAACAGTGCCTGAAGTATAGTAAGTGCCCAACAAATGTTTGTAAAGTGAATGAATACCTGTGCGAAAATATGAAATAAACATGGATCTCATAAGGAATTTCAGAGTTTTGTGAATTTGGCTAATAGTTTATTTTAAAATGCCTCCTGTGTCTCTGTGCATAAGGATACATTCTGTGTGGCAAATGCAATTCTAAGTAATAGTGTAGCATAATAGAATGCTCAGATAGTGCTAAACATTATATTTTCAATAAATAAAGAAAAAATAAGCTAGTACATTTGACTAGTTCAAATATAAAGGAGGGAGTGCCGTATTCTGGTATCCTGAATTCAGAATCTTAATCAGTGCTGTGGGAAGCACATGCCTTAAATAGTTCCTGCAGCCACCTCCACCGTGAAGGAGAGCAGGTGGTCCCCAGCTTACAGGGAAAGGGGGAGCAGCCTCTCCCTGCAGGATACCTGAGCCTTTACAGTTGCAGGTGGCACAACACTGAAGTTTATCTTCTAAGGCAGAGATCAACACTCTGTGGCCTGCTTGTGATGGCCCAAGGTTAAGAATGGGCTTTACATTTTTTATGGATTGCAAAGGGAAGAAAAGGCTATGTAACACGGACCTATGTGATCTGTAAAACCTAAAATATTAATTATCTGGTCCTTTCTGGGAAAAAAATTACCTTAGACCCTTGGTCCGTATTGTTTTTAGTCCCCAAAATCAGCTTTCCTAGATATATCTTTTTCTTCTAGGTCCATTTTGTGCATTTCTCTTTCCATGGAATCAAAGTCGCACAGAATGTTTCATGAACCAAATGACAGCAGCTACTAGAATCAGGTGAAGGGCCCTCTTCTCATTCCCCATGAACGCTCACTAATGGCCGGAGGATCCACGCCAACTTCTCTCTAGCCACCAAGGAAAATCACACTGTGCCCCTGCAGAAGCGGGAGACACACAGGCTGATGAAAGTCTTCCTCCGAAAGGATGGGGGTTTTTGTTTGTTTGTTTTTGAGATAGAGTCTATGTTGCCGTTGGTAGAGTGCCATGGCGTCGCAGCTCATAGTAACCTCCAACTCTGGGATTCTCTTGCCTCAGCCTCCCAAGTAGCTGGGACTACCGGTACCCGCCACCATAGGACCTGGCTATGTTTTTGTTGCAGTTGTTTAGCTGCCCCAGGCCAGGTTTGAACCTGCCATCCTCAGTGTATGTGGCTGGCACTGTAACCACTGTGCTACGGGCGCTGAGCCAAAAGGATGATTTTAGCTAGACAATGACCTTCTTAGTTTCAAGACACCCTCCCCCCAAAAAATCCACAAAGAAACAGTTCAGAAGTTATTACTCATAACTTCCCCGAGAATCTGTGACAACAGGATTGAATGTGTTGACATAAACACCTTATTTTTTCTTAGTGAATTAAAGTATATAGGGAGAAACAGGGAGGAAAAGGGAGGAAAGAGTAGTTCACTTAGCTCCTGGCCAATAGCGAGAGCAGTGAATTTACGTAGGCCCACATGCATTGATTTCTTTTTGGCAGTTCCACTGGGTATCTCTCTGGCTCTTCGCCATGACTATTTTCTTAACACAAGGTTTTTATTCTTTCCCCGAAGCCAAAAGATGACACGTATCCTTTCCTTCACCCCACTATGCATTGCTGGACTCCAACGAGTGATCTGTACGTTGGCTGTGAAGAGGGTCTTCTTTTAATGATTGATGGAGAGACCTTGAAGGTGACTGTGCTCAATAAAGCCGAAGAGACGCCACCCCTGGGTGAGAGACCACTCTGCCTCATATTCCCAGAAGTGTAGCTGTAGGTGTTGATTTTGTTCATTTTTCCCATTTTTCCCCTTCTTGGAGACATCTTTGATTCCTCTAATCTGGCTCACTAGAAAGTCGGCCTCTTTCTGGCCTTGTCTGAGATTCTGTGGGACTCACTCCTTTGTTAGAGCCACATCCTGTGCTAAACAATGGCCCAGGTACATGTCTGTCTTTGAAGCCAGGAATATGTCTTATGCATTCTTTGACTCTAAAGTATAATCCCAAATATCTCTACAAAATAAACTATCACCTATTTGTGTTTGTAAAATGAATTATAAAATGTTTCTCACTTCTAAACTCCTATCACACCTCTAATATATCTTACACAATTTATAACTTAATCGTATGTAGTCTCATATAGTTCACTATTTCCTTCCTACATATTATTTCTTACGATTTTCATGATATGTTAGAAATGCTTTCAAATACATATTTATCAAACCTCTACAATGTGAAAGACATTAAACAAAGTGCCTTAGAGGCTACATAGATGATAAACAAATAGCCTCATATTTTCCATCCTTAAGGGACTTAGATTTTATTAAGGAGAATAAAGCAAACAGGCAAATTACACCCCAGGTAGATAAAAATGATTTCATTAAAAAAAAAAAAAAACCTTCTCAATGTGCTATGGGGATTCAGAGATTGGGAACAGTACAAGTCATTTTGAAGATTTCATATGAACTGGCCCTTGAGGGATGGGTGCCTAGGCAGAGGTGTGGGCAGGTGGAATTTTACTTGTCTGAAGCCTCAAGTGTTACAAAAGAGTAGTGGAGGATGAAGGGCATCCTCTGGCTTTTCATACACAGCTAAGGTGTTTATACTTGATTCAGCTGACAATGGGCAAACATCAAAAACTCCTAAGTGGGGACATACCCTGACTAGAATTTCACTTGGGCAGATTAATTTAGCCACAGTTCAGGAAAGGAAGATCCTAGAAGTGGGTGGCATTAAACAGCAAGCACCTGGACCATGCCAGGAGTTGTACAAACTCGGACTCCAGTGGTATTTGGACTGGAGGAGAGGGGACTGCTGGGAGGTGAACAGTCTTTGTGGGAAATGCAAGTGTGCATCTTAGCATCTAGTAAAATGCCAGGTACATAGTATGCAGCAAACAAATAATTAGATGATGCGACCTGAGCCTTTGATTTTGTAGTTCTTATTGTTTGTCTAAATAAAATAGTAATATGCCTTTTTCATATTTTCCCCCAAGGATTATATTTAATTAACAAAAAATGTTTTTATAGAAAATTTTCTCTTTTCACTTTTTGTCCACTGCATTTATTTATTGACGTATATATTTATTGACATATATTTATATATATTATATATATTGACGTATATATTTACATACAACAAAATGCACAAATCTTAAGTATACAGTTCCCTAACAATATAATTTTAGTTTGTTTTTTTGGCTGGCCTCTTAAAACCTTGACAAAACTTTCCTAAAAAATAAATTTGTTATATAATTTTATAATGTCAGTTATATAGACCCAATGATACAGAACTTGCAACTTGTATGATTTATATTAATGATCATTACAAAGCAACTTTTATTATATTGTTTATTGTAATTTTAATTATGTCACCTGTTTTACCTTGTTTTTCTCTTCCTACAGACGAAAGAAATCTTATCACTCCGATCACCTTGGTGTATCAAAAGGAGGGCGTGTTTGCTTCTGGAATTGTAATGAAATTTTTTTTTTTCAAAATTAATTGCTTTCAAGAAAATACACAATTTTCATTTGCTGCCATGTAGTATTTTTTTTTTTTTTTTTTTTTTTTTGAGACAGAGCCTCAAGCTGTCCCCCTGGGTAGAGTGCCGTGGCATTACAGCTCACAGCAACCTCCAACTCCTGGGCTCAAGCGAGTCTCCTGCCTCCGCCTCCCAAGTAGCTGGGACCACAGGCGCCTGCCACAACGCCTGGCTATTTTTTGGTTGCAGCCGTCATTGTTGTTTGGCGGGTCCGGGCTGGGGATTCGAACCCGCCACCTTAGGTGTACGTGGCTGGCGCCTTAGCCGGTTGAGCTATAGGCGCCGAGCCGCCATGTAGTATTTTGAGCCATATTTCAGGAAGGCAGGGCTATTGAATTATTAATTAAAATTGTTTGTCCTTTGAATGCTATTATAAAATTTTTTATTTTGAAGATTTCAAATATATACAAAAGGAAGGACAAAGTATAATGAACTACAATATATCTATCTTCTTGCAGGTGAACAAAAATAGAATTTAAAAATCCATTGCTCCCAGTGAAAAAGTATTTAATATCTTTAATCCAATCCCATGCCCATTTCTGCATTTACTGTATTAGGTTGTCATTCATGACTTTAGAAACTTTTTTCTAAGCATAACTCTTGTGTACACCCATTTAGCTTACACACATCATATTGCTAATGTTGATATTAGAATTCATATTAATAGCCTCCGTTTACTTGGTGCTTATTTTGTGCCAGGCACCAAACTAAGTGCTTTACTTGTATTATCTTATCACTCTGTACAACAACCTTATCAAATAGAAACAATTGACACTCTTCTAATACAGACAAAGGAACCAGGTCTTAGAGAGGTCACCAGCAAGTGGAGGAGTTAGAGCTCAAGTCCAGGTGTGTCAAACTCCAAAGTCTTTGCTTTCATTTATTAGAACACACACCTCTATTCTATATAGATGAAAAGGGGTCAACCTATGTTTTCCAATAATGTTGTAATCAACATAACCAATGCTGAAGCTTGGAACAGGCCTATACTAAAATTTTCGGTGTAATCATAGCTTTGTCTGTTCCATTGCCACAGATCACACCTCCAGGACCCTGAGGATAGCTAGGCAGTGATTCAGAGTGAGAGATGCAATTGCATCCCTGAGAAGCCACCTGGAGCGCCATTACTCAGCTTATAATTCCCTCCCTCAACCTTGCAGGGGATGACCTCCTCCTCCCTCCTACACTTAGTCTGCATTTGCGGCCTTTCGAGACTCTTTTCTCTTTAAGACCACCCTTGATGTTTGTTTTAACCTACTTTAAAGAAATGATTGTGGGATTTGCTCTGATGAGGGGTGGAGAATTATGACTAACTTGGAGAAAAAGCACCTTGCATGTTTTCCCCTCCAGATCCCAAGCATCTTAACCCATCCATCTCACAAATACCTCTTCTTAGTTATGAAAGGGTCTAAACTAGAAAGTGATGGATAGATTCACTCCAGACTTCTTCACTGTTGTAAAAATAACTGAAATTCCTCTAGAGAGTTGTTATATTAGCCTAATCCTATTCACAACCAACCCATTTTTATAGGATACCTGTTGGAAAAGAGGATGCAAATGGAATAAAAGACACATTCCCCACCCCTGGGTCATTTAGGGAAATAAGAAATGCATATAACAATGATCAAAGAGCATATATTAGGAAGAAAGGAGCCTGCTATGCATAAGCCACACAAACTCTACCCCATTTGCCCCACCTCCTAGATAGTGAAGAAGGTGGTAAAAGGAGAGATGCTAGAGAAGCTCAAAGAAAGAAATCAGTAAAATTTTAGGTAATTGAAAAATGTGTGACTAAAGAGGTAAAATTGAAGCTTGACCAGGGAACATGTTCAAAAGTTACCTAAATAAGGGGGGAGGATGGGTGGAGGGAGGGTGATTGGTGGGATTGCATCTATGGTTCATCTTTTAGGGGTACATGTGAATCTTTCTAAATGAAGAATATAAATGTCTTAACACAATAACTAAGAAAATTACATGAAGGCTATGTTAACCAGTTTGATGGAAATATTTCAAATTGTATATAAAAATAGTACACTGTACCCCATGACAGTATCGATATACACAGCTATAATCTAATAAAAAAAAAGTTACCTAAATAAATATGAGAGGACAGTGCATTATAAATAATGTAAACATAGAATGTTTATACTTGGATGATGACTCCAAAGAAACAATAGATCATAATTGATAAACTTTAGCTTATTTGATGAGGAAAATATCCTATGCATTGACTGAGACTGACTTTCTGCATTTATCTCTTCATTCTTTTTTCTCTAGGATGGCTTTATATATTCTTTTATCATTAAAGAGTCAAGTTACAAAATACAGGATTTTCTTGAGATTGAAGGGTCGGTTCAGTATTTGGTGTTTTCTCCCAATTACAAAATGTTGCTGATTCAAACAGACAAGGTATGCTGGATGGAAATTTCTTGATATGCAATTTTCAGATTGTATCATTGTCATTATTCCATGACAGGAATGAAAAGCTGCATGAGCTTCATGACACTGTACTGGTCAAGACTCTTTAGGTTACAAATAAAAAAAATACCTAATTTAAAAGGCCTAAGTAACAAAGAGTTGTTTGTTTATCATGTAATGAAAGGGGAAGAAGATGATCCAAATCCAGGAGCTCCCATGTTGCCACTGAGCTTTGTCTTCCTCTTGGGTCTATTTTCTCTTTGCGGTCTCCCTTTCCTTGCAGACTTACTACTTTGTGGTGTTAAGAGAGCCTCCTGTAGCTCCAGCTTATATCTCTTTTCTCTCTCTCTCTCTTTTGTGTGCGTGTGTGTGTGTGTATGTGTGTGTGTGTGTGTGGCTGGGGCTGGGTTTGAACCCACCACTTCTGGCATGTAGCCACAGGCGCTGCCCTCCAGCTTATATTTCTATTCTTTTGGTTACTCTGATGGAAAGATACCAGCTGGAAAAAACATCTTGGAATCTAGCTAGACCCATTGAACTAACTTGGATCACCTGTCTTCCCAGATGCAATCACTGTGGCCAGGAGAATTCTAAGCTCTGATTGGCCAAGCCTAAGTCATATGACTACCCTTGGTTGCTGGGTAGTGTCAACCTACTCAGTTGTGGACTGAGGTTTTGGGCATAGGTGATTTGCTAAGGAAAATATGGGTTCTGTAAGAGAAAAAGAAAGAGGAAGCAAAGTAAAAACAAATGTTCGATTATACTGTTACTAATTAATGGAATAACCCTGAAAGGTTAGAATCAGCAGACATTTATATTTCAGGCAACAATTTTAGATGGAGTACAAGCAAAATTCAATGGTTTTCTGTCTAAAAGGACACTTAAATTTCACTACAGAAAGACTTCAGTTTCTGGTAATTAACAAAAGGTAAAAAGAGTTGTGCTGTGGTTTAAGAAATAAATGAAAAACTTAAAATATCTATGGAGAACAGGAAACTATGTTTAAAGTATCAAGATAGAAGAGAGAAAAACCCAAATAGAACTTCTAAAAAAGAAAAAAATACACTAACAAAGTAAAATTTAAATGAACTTGTCTGATAAAAGATTGGACACAGCTCAAGAGAGAATCAATGAACTGAAAGACAGATCGGTAGTTATTCCATTTGTACCCTAGAAAAGCAGGAAAGTAGAAAATACAAAAGGGAAGGTAAAGAGACATGAATAATACTATGAAAAGATCTAAAATATGTTTGATTGGCATCCAGAGAGAGTGGGATAGAGGCAATACGTTAGGAAATTTTGGCTGGGAACTTTCCAGATATGATTAAAGACATGAATTTACAGAGTCAAGAGGTCTAGTAAATTCCAAACAGAATACATGACATGGTATCTATCTTAAACTCACCAAAGTGAAATTGTCAAAAACCAAAAGCAAAGAGAAAATTTAAAAAGCAGTCAGAGAAAAGACAACAAATTACTTCAAAGGATTGTCAATTAGATTAACATTTGACTTGTCTGTGGCAATAATATAAGTAAGAAAAAGTAGGATGATATCTTGTAGTTCACAGGTCAGCAAACTATGACTCCATGGGCCAAAAACCAGAATTGTTTTCTAAATAAGGTTTTATTGGAACACAGCCATATCCATTTATTTATGCATTGCCTATGGCTTCTTTCCCACTATAGTGAACAGTAAGTAATTGTGACAGAAGCCACATGACTTAAAAAGGCTTAAAAGGCTGAGGACATTTATAGAAAAAGTTTACTGACCTCTGATGCAGTGAAAGAAAATAATGACCAACTGGAATTCTATACCCAATAGAAATAAATTTTCAGTATAGAACCCTTTAGACACTTGAAATCTGAGAGTTTGTGAGAAGCTGTCACTAGAGAAAATTATAAAGAAGTCACTTCAAGCAGAAGGAAAATGATCCCAGGTGAACGGTCTGTGATGGAAGAAGAATAAAGAGCTGCAGTAATGTGTGAAGAATCATAAAGGAACACTAACTGTATAAAATAGCAAAAATAATATAAAATTAGGTTTAAAAATACCACTGAATTAAAATCCCATATAACAACAACGTAAGCTGGGAGGAAAAGTTATATGTAGACTATAGTGTTCCAAGGTTCTTGTACTACCCAGTAGGAGGGTAAAAGTTTAAGTAACTTTTGGTGTTGATAAACTAGGTGTGCATGTTGTGATTTTTAACGTAACCACTAAAAGAATGGCAATAGTAGATGTAATTTCCAAATTATAGAGGGGAGAAAGTGAAATGGTAAAAAAAAAAAAAGGTAAGAAAAGAACAAGAAATAAATGCAAAACAAGTGAGATAAATAGAAAATGTAAGTTAACTATTATGTTTAAACTCAAATATATTAGTAATTACAAAAAGTAAAAGATAATAATCTATTTAATAATCAAATATTGTCATTTATTTTATGAATTAAAAATAAAAAACAAACTGAAGTATGTGCTTCATGTAGATGTTCTACATCTAGAACACAAAAGTATAGTAAGATTTTAAGTAAAAAGGTAGAAAAAAAACAATTATCATGCAAACAACCAAAAGAAAGCCAGTGGAGCTGTATCAATATCAGGTAAAATATTAAGGTCAAAATTATTACTAAAGATAAATGGGCTGATTTCAGAATAATAAAAAAATTTAAATTCACCAGGAATATTTAAACATTTAAAGTATGTATGTATCAGGTTGGTGCCTGTAGCTCAATGGTGAGGGTACCAGCTATATACACCAGGGCTGGCGGGTTTGAACCTGGCTTGGGCCTGCCAAACAACAATGACAACTACAACAAAAAAATAGCTGGGCATTGTGGTGGGAGCCTATAGTCCTAGCTACTTGGGAGACTAAGGCAAGAGAATTGCTTAAGCCCAAGAGTTTGAGGTTGCTGTGAGCTGTGACACTACAGCACTCTACTGAGAGCAACATAGTGAGACTCTTGTCTCAAAAAAAAAAATGTGCAAGTACCTAATAACATAGCCTCAAATATGTAAAAGAAAACAAGGCAAAATAACAAGGGGAAACAAAGCCATGATATTACTGGGGCATTTTGATATACTTCTCTCAGTACACGATAGAATATACAGTGTATTTTCAACATATCAGCCAAAGTGAGCAGAGCATTTTTCTCTACAACTCAGAACCTGCCAATGATGTCCTATGTCATTCTGAGTAAAAGCCAAAATCCAGACTGGTTTAAATGGCCCTTCATGACATGAACTCCACCTCCAACCCCATGCCTTGTCCCTCACTTCTTTTGACTCTTGTTTACCCTGCCCCACCCATACTGGCCATCATGCTGTTTTCTTCAACATGCCAAGCATGCTCCTCCCCCAGAGTCTTTGCACTGGCTATATTCCCTCTGTCTGGAATGCTCTTCCCACAGAAATAACCTGGATCCTTTCTTCATTTCCTTCAAGTCTTTTCTCTAAAGTTACCTTCTCACTGCAGCCTTTCTTAGACATTCAGCTTAAACTTGCACCCTGTTAACTTTGCCATGTGACATTTCCCTTCCTTGCTTTACTTTTTTCTTCTTCTCACGGTTATTACTATTTAATTTAAAAAATAAATGAAAGGCAAAGTTAGCAAATATTTTCCAAATTTCGAACTCTATATAAAGTTGTATTTTCTAGATAAATAAAAATATTTATGTTTAATTCTAGTAAACTTGAACTTATGATGACTTGAAAGCAGACTACTTATTGCTCATTAAGTGGCCATATTTTATTACAGCTACTTGGCAGAGATATGTAAGTTGTAGGGTAGATTTTTTTGTTTGAGGTGAATTTGGTGGCTAAGAATGATAAACAAATCATAAAGTGACAGCTTCACCCACACCTCAACAATTTTTACACAGGCTTATCTAAATTTTATTTTTTAAATTTTTTACTTTTTTTACACAATTTTTTCTATTAAATCATGTCAGATCTATTAATGGCTTATTTAAATGTTAATTAGTGCCCCTCCCATTATGTTTAGCATGTGGTAGGATTTACTTCATATTTATAACTTTTCTGGTTTTCCACATTGTCCAAATTTTCTATAAAAATGGTCATTTTTAAAATCAGGAAGAAGTGTTTTGTTATGTTTTGTATTTTAAAAAACAAATGCCTATAATTGAGGAAGAAAATCTTATTTATGGTTATTTTAAATGAATGAATGAATCAAGAAGAAAATCTTGTTTGTGGTTATTTTAAATGAATGAATGAATGAATGAATCAACAAACAAACAAATCAAGCATCTAGATTTTCAGCTCCTCAAGGTCAGGTTGTTAATGAGTTGATCTACAATATCCCTCACCTATTCCCACATGATGCCTTGCTTATGTAGGCATTTCATAAATATTTGTTGAACTGTATAAACAACAATTACAGTATGTTTTTTTCTTTTGTATACTTATCAGGGATCTGTTTACATCTATACTTTTGGTGAGGAGCCTACATTAGATCAAATCCTAGATGCCTGTGATGGGAAGTTTCAGGCAATGGACCTTGTCTCTCCTGGAACTGAACACTTTGTGGTAAGGCATAATCTATTGTGTCTGTGTCACAGTAGATTTAAAGATATGTGACAAGAATTTAGAGATATATGAATTTAAGAATTCATACATGTAGACCCTATTCAAATGTAATCAGGTAACTTCAGCAGTTTGTGTGCAAAGCAATGCAAATAGGAGGCTCGGTCTATCCTTGGAGACTGCTGTAGAGATGCCAGTCACTTCCATCATCACAGAATGATGTCATCATATTGTGACTTCATCATATTGTCTTCTGAAAACAGCCAACCCGTTGAGATCTTAGGAACCATCTTTTCACCACCCAAGCTCTGCAAGTCAAGCCTTTAAACATGTTCATTGCTAATGAGCTGTCGACACGCAGTAAACCATTAGCATTTATGTACTTTCAGAGTAATCGAGCAGTAGCACCTGAGAGTAAAAATGAAATAGTTGCTGTGCACAATACGTGAATTCAGTCTGAGAAGTCAATAATAGTATATCAATATCCTCTCATCGATTGTAATGAATGCACTACATTATGCAAGGTGTTAATGATGTGTAGAGGGGAAGAGGAAGAAGAGGAATTCTTTGTTCTTTCTGCTCAGTTTTTCTATAATCCTAAAGCTGCTTTAAAAATAGTCTTTGAGGGTGGCGCCTGTGGCTTAGTGAGTAGGGCGCCAGCCCCGTATACCAAAGGTGGCAGGTTCAAACCCAGCCCTGACCAAACGGTAAGAAAAAATAGCCGGGTGTTGCGGTGGGCACCTGTGGTCCCAGCTGCTTGAGGGGCTGAGGCAAGAGAATCGCCTAAGCCCAAGAGCTGGAGGTTGCTGTGAACTGTGATGCCACGGCACCCTACCAAGGGCAACAAAGTGTCTCTAAAAAAAAAAAACAGTCTTTGAATTTTCAAGTAAATTTTATCTTAAATATCTTACATAAAATTTTATACTAAATCACTTTTGTAATTCTAATTAATTACTATATACTTAAATTGCATCAAAGATAATAGTTAATATTTGTTCAGAAAAGAAAAACTGATGTTGAACTTGCAAAATAATTATTTGTGATCTATATAAGTAAAACGAAATTTTATACTAAATCATCAGATTGACATACTAGGGAAGAAGATAAAACATGCTTCAGAAGAGTTTTATTTTCCATTAAAGTTTTGCTTTTCTTTCTTTTACAGACACTTACACAATTAGGGGAAGTTTGTATTTGGTGGATAGAGGATAGCACTTGTGTAAGCAAGATTAATCTGAATACCCCAGTAAGTATGCTTGACAAACAGATTTCTTAAGAGGTTGAATTCTGATCCAATCTACCTTTTCATATTTACATGTCAGTGGTCTGTGGAAATACTTGCTACAGAAGCCTTATTGCATCTTTACTTTACTTTATAAATTGAAGTAATTCTTATGTGTAAAGTGTTCCACAGCCCAGAGGGTGGAACACAACATACTATATTTGTTATAGGAAAGGCTAAGTTTTCCTGTGGTGGCAGTTGTTTTTGAAACCCTAGTGGTTTATCTCTTACTCATGTGGCAATTCATTGTGGACTTGCAGGGCTCTCTCTTGCACGGTTTCTAAGGGAGCTAGACTAATGGAGTTTCCACCAACCAATAGCTACTCAATGCCAGGGCAAAATAGTGCTGGAGGGTCTTTCTCCAGGGGCAGGGGTGAGGGAGTGGGGGTGCTTTTGAGTCAACACTTAAGCACTTTTACTCAGAAATGAAATATCCTTTTGGTCATAACTGGATAAATGGCCCCATCTAAACTGCAAGAAAGAAAATTGGCACTCTAACCAGCTTAAGCCAAAATTTTAAAAGTGGGTTGATGGGCTCAGTCATCTATAAAATACAGACCTTGTCTGGCCTTGTATGTGCCTCAGTCCAGCAGCTCAAATGACAGACCAAGGGCCTCATCTTTCTGTCTCTACACTATGCCTTTAGTTTCATCCCACACCTCATTTAGTGGCACCCAGATGCCACAGGTGCCAACCTCACATCACACTGTCAAGGGGGAAAAACTCCTGCAGCAGGGGAAGGAAGATCAAAGAACTTTCTCCTTTGCAGGTAAATATCTTCTAATGTCTTAATAATGTCACTGAAATAATCACCATGGAGGGGGGGGCAAGAAATGCCAATTGGTATAAGCTCAGCCCTGGAAATGGAAGTCAGAGCCATTCCATTCATGGATGGCTTCTCAGTGGATATTCAAGAAAATTTCTGGGAGGGCACATGGATGGTGGGTGGCAAACCATAACTGCCCACAGCACCTGCACAAGTGACACCATTATTCATACTGCATTTTACATAAAATGCACTGGGCCTACCATAGTGGCTCATGCCGATAATCCTAGTACTTTAAGAGGCTAAGGTGAGAACATTGCTTAAGGCCAAGAGTTTAAGACACCTCTGGCTTCTTTTCTCTACAAAAGAAAAAAAAGAAGAAGACAGAAATAGAAAAATTAGCCAAAACAGCAACAATAACCAAAATTAGCCAGACATGGTGGTGCGTATCTGTTTTCTGAGCTACTTAGGATGCTGAGGCAGGAGAATCACTTGAGCCCAGGAGTTCAAGATTATAGTGAGCTGTAATTTCCACCACTGCATTCTAGCCTGGGGCACAGAATGAGACCCTGTTTCAAAAACAAATAAGAATATTACAAAATGTAAAGGAGCAAGAAACAATGGTAATGCTTCTTGGTCCTTTTTTTTTTTTTAATCATTTGCTGCATTTCATAGTTCTAGATGATAATATGGATCTTGGTAGTAAGTAGGGAATTTTTAATCCTTTCACTCTATAAGTCTCAATAATTACAAGACTAAGCATTATACCTTATGTAGGATTACAAAAACACCAAAGATAAATAATTCAACGGGGTAAAACTCTCAAAAGTAAAGGTAAAAATTCTCACCTAAAATACTGTGAGTATGAAAAGACCCCATGATCTATGTGACAAATGCTCTGTGTATCCATTTCTGTTAGAATTACTGGAACTGTAAGAGATCTTACAAGTTCATGCTATCAGAACTCTTTCTACGGATGAGAGACATACAAATGTTTAACAACCTATCCAGAGGCCTCTATAATCAGGACTTGTTCCTCTTGGCCAAGGAGGGATAGTAGGCACCATCAGACATCCTTGGCAAAATTTCATGAGCTCCAAACCAGGCTTGATACACTGACGTGGGTCAGCCTGCCTGTGTGAAGGAGATGCAATGGTCTTCTTTGGAGGAATGGAGGATATGGCTGTCCTAATCAGCAGACAGACCCAGTGATGCTGAGGCCAGATCTCCCTGCCTGTGCCTGAAAGTATGTTGCCTGTGAACTCTTTAGGCAGTGATCATCAGGGAACCCCCAGCACCACAGTGGCAAGACACTGACACTAGCAGTTTCCCTTGGTGGTACTGGAGAGGGTACACAAGACCCTTCTGGCTGTTGCTGTACATTTTCAGACTAGGCCACTGATTGTCCTGGAATGGAGGAGAATGTCAACCTATTATTTGGGGAGCACACCACACATACACACAGGGAAAATGAAAATAATAATAATGAAAGCCTGCTTAGTCGGAAGACTGTGCGTACCTAATGGGACAGGACCTGAGCTCTCATCTGAACTTGGTCACTGGCGATGGGCCTCCCTCTTCTATTTTGCAAAATGTTCTCTTAAGTTCTTTTCCAGCTCTAACTTTCCATGATTTTATTCAAAACCATCTCAAAGTGTAGTTACAGAAGAATAATTCCTATTCCTTAAGTGCAAATAAACTTATTCTCTGTGACATAATATTCTGTATAAATAATTGTGAGATAAACAGAAAACTGTTATGCATTGTTTGGTGACTAAATTCATGGTCTGGTGATAAAGTTATTAATAATTTCTTAAGCCTTCCTCACTCATACAAACATCACAAGATCTGCCATTATTCAGCAGATGAATGCTGATTTTAAAAGTCACTAACATTCTACAAAAATGTCCAAAAGTTACTAGAGGTTTATTTTAAATTTCTTATTTTATTTTTTATTATTTTTATCCTAATTGTTCCATAACAATTTACATCGATAATGGTATAATCATTTTATCATCATTTAGGGATAAAAATGAAACTATGATTTAAAGTTCAAGGAATCTATCTGTACTTTTGTCACTCTAATTTGAACGGAAAGATTCCTGTGACTTCTTATGCAATTGGTTAGCTCAGGAATGTCCAATCTACAAGGTGTGACAATTAAGTCTGCAAACTCATCCTAGAAAAAGTGCTCCACACCGTGATGCTCAATATCACTACGGTCACCTTCAAAGTACTCCCCGTGGCCACCTGGCGACCGTAGTGATACTCAGCAATGAAGCATAGAGCACTTTTCCCTGGAGGAGCTCACGGACTTAATTGTCCGATCTCGTATAACTTAAAGTAACACACCACACAATTCTTGCCACTCTTTTCCTTCTGCAGACTTTTCAAATAAATTGTAGAATTCTTATGTGTAGGACAGCAGGCTTCATTATCTGGCTCAGTGAAGGTAAACCTCTGTGTTTATTTCCAACAGACCACAGTCCTGGCTTGCTCTCCCTCCTCCCTCTCCGCTGCCGTGGGCACTGTGGGAGGCTCTGTCCACTTCATCAGCGTACAGGACGCGGAATTCCCCCACGTATTCCACAAGGCCTTTCTCTCCGAATCTTCCGTGCAGCACCTGGTGTAAGTACCTCCTCCTTCTGCGGCAGGCCTGCCAGGAATTCTGGTGAAGCCATCGTTCTTTTAGTTTTAAGTTTTTACACGTTTCATTTATTTCAAATATTAATATGAATATTAATACATTCGCTCAGCTCAATACTCAAAAGCAGGAGGGGTGTGTTAGGAAGTCCCCTACTCTTGTTCCCCACACACTGAATTCACTCCAATTTCTTGTGTCTCTTTTCAGAGACATTTTATCCATAAACAAGCAAAAATATGAGTCTTCCTTTTTTTTTTTTTTCGGAAGTTTTTGGCCAGGCTGGGTTTGAACCTGCCACCTCCAGCATGTGAGGCCAGCGCCCTACTCCTTTAAGCCACAGACGCTGCCCATTTCCTTTGATGTCTTTGAAGAATAATCAGGCACTTAGAGTATGCCGGGCACTTCTATTGTAGTATTTCTGTGAAGTACACACACTTAGTGTCTCCATTTTACAGATAAGGAAGATGAGGCACAAAGAGTTTAAATAAATTACTCAGTATTACACAGATGGTAAACAGCAAATTATAGGGTTAGGCTCCAGTCAGAGAGAAAATTGTATACAGTGTTCTAGACCTCCCTTTTTAGTCGCTTAATGGTATATCTTAGAGAATGTTTTATATCCTTATAAAGACCATCCTCATTCTTCTTTTTAGCCTTGTTGTTTGCATAATATAAGCATACTGTCTTTTGAAGCAATACTTTTAAAACTATAGACATTGGAGTTGGACTTGTGCTTTGCTAATTTTTTTTTTTTTGAGACGGGGTCTCTCTCTGTGATCTGAGATAGAGTATAGTGGCATCATCACAGTTCACTACAACTTCAAACTTCTGGGCTCAAGCAATCCTCCTGCCTCAGCCTCCCAAGTAGCTTGGATTCAGACCTGTGACACCACACCCTGCCAATTTTTCTAATTTTTGTAGAGATAGGGGTTTCTTTCTTGCTCAGTCTGATCTCAAACTCCGGGCCTCAAGTAATCCTCCTGCCTTGGTCTTCCAAAATGCTAGATTACAAGCTTGAGCCACTGTACCCAGCCTCTTTCTTTTTATAATTTATCATAATATACAGCTGGGCGCAGTGGCTTATGGTCTATAATCCTAGCACTCTGGAAGGCCAAGGTCAGTGGATTGCTTGAGCTTAGGAGATGGAAACCAGCCTGAGCAAGAGCAAGACCCTATCTCTACCAAAAATAGAAAAACTATTTGGGCATGTGGCAGGCACCTATAGACCTAGCTACTTGGGAGGTTGAGGCAGGAGGATCACCTGAGCCCAGGACTTTTAGGTTGCTGTGAGCTCTGACCTCAAGGCACTCTGCCCAGGATGACAGAGTGAGATTCTGTCTCAAAACAAAAAACCAAACGAACAAAAAAAAAAAAAAAAAGAATTGACATTTGTGTCCTGCTTTACACCTTGAGGTCATTGTAAGTTATTGAATGTTACTCTTGAAACACCAGTCAGAAAGGTATTATACTTGTCCCTATCAGACAAGTTAGGGATTCAGGTTCAGAGAGGTGAAGAGAAATATTTCCCCAGAACTGCACAGCTAACACAGAGGACCCGGCTCTGCCGTCTGTGTTTTGCCTGCCCAGCTCTGCCACTGCCACTCCTCCTCGGGGGGAGGCAATAAATAACCTCCCTTCACTTACCTCTGCACTCTGTACCACAGTTTTTTGTGTCTCTTCTTTCTCAGATCCTTATTCTAATTTACATCTTCCCACTTTTTCTAATTTGATGAAGGTATAGAAATGTTTTGCTGTGTTTTTCCTTCTCCTGTGAGGTAGCAGACACATGGTAATGAAATGGCACACCCATTACTAATTTTAGAATTGCTTATTTCCATCTGAAACATCAAGAAAACTCTACTGACGTATTTCCTGCACTTACAATGAAACAGTTGCCCATCTTTGCTGAATATTCTTTTTTTTTTGAGACAGACCCTCAAGCTATCGCCCTGGGTAGAGTGCTGTGGCATCAACAACTCACAGCAACCTCCAACTCCTGGGCTTAAGGGATTTTCTTGTCTCTGCCTCCCAAGTAGCTGAGACTACAGGCACCGCCACAATGCCTGGCCATTTTTTGGTTGTAGTTGTCATTGTTGTTTGGCAGGCCCAGGCTGGGTTCGAACCCACCATCTCTGGTGTATGTGGCTGGCACCTTAGCTGCTTGAGCTACAGGCGCTGAGCCTTTGCTGAATATTTCTGGGTGTACTTATAAGTTGCAACCTGGAAATAGCATTGGCCTGAACTATAGTAATTCCACCTATGTGTAATCACCCAAATTTTATGAGATCAGAGAATATTAAAAAATATTAATAAAATGTGACTTATTTTGAACATATCTCCATAGTTTTTCAATAAACTTCCTAACCATCTAATTGGTGAAACAAGAATAATCTGATAATTAGATTTTTTTGTTTTCCAGTTATGACCAGAGAGGAATGTTTCTATTTGTTGGAACATTAGAAGGAAAGGTCTTTGTTATGAATGCCAGACCCTCAAGCTCATTTGAGATTATTGGATTCACAGGTACAATATAGAATGTTTATTAATTTGAAATGTTGATCATTCTATTCCAAAGAATTTAAGGTTTTAAAAATGGAACTCAAAACAATTATTTATGGTAGATTTTCTAAAAGACAAATACTTAAGTGAAGTTAAGGTTATTTAGAAGAATTCTTGTGTTATATTTACATGTATTTGGAGTATTAGCATTACCTGCTTGGTACATGGTTGATGCTAAAATTTTTTTGGGGGGGGGTAAAAAAATAGAGATCATTTAATAAGTATTGAATTCACATAATAACCACAGTAATAGTTTAGAAAACATTGTTATTAACCAATGAAAATGGAGCCATTCTTTTGCTATGTCTAGCAATGTATTTATATATTTTTTTTTTTATTAAGTCATAGCTGTGTACATTAATACTATCATGAGGTACAGTGGGTTGTTTCTATATACAGTTTGGAATACTTTCATCCAACTGGTTAACACAGCCTTCATGTCATTTTCTTAGTTGTTGTGTTAAGACATTTATATTCTACATTTAGTAAGATTCACATGTACCCTTGTAAGATGCACCCTAGGTGTGGTCCCACCAATTACCCTCCCTCCACCCATCCTCCCCTCCCTTTCTCCTTTCCCCATATTCTTGGGCTAAAATTGGGTTATAGTTTTCCTATGATAGCTATAAATTAGTTTCATACTAGGGTTGAGTACATTGAATACGTTTTCTTCCATTCTTGAGATACTTTGCTAAGAAGAATATTTTCCAGCTCCATCCATGTAGACAGGAAGGAGCTAAAGTCTCCATCTTTCTTTATGGCTGCATAGTATTCCATGGTGTACATATACCACAATTTATTGATCCATTCATGGGTTGATGGGCATTTGGGTGCCTTCCATGACCTAGCAATTATGAATTGGGCTGCAGTGAACATTCTGGTATAAATATCTTTATTGTAGTGTGATTTTTGGTCTTCTGGATATATACCTAGCAGAGGAATTATAGGATCAAATGGCAGGTCTATTTTTAGTTCTCTAAGTGTTCTCCAGATGACTTTCCAAAAGGGACATATTAATTTGCAATCCCACCAGCAGTGTAGAAGTGTTCCCTTTTCTCCACAACCGTGCCAGCATTTGTGATTTGGGGATTTTGTGATATAGGCTAATCTTACTGGTGTTAGATGATATATCAAAGTAGTTTTAATTTGCATTTCTCTGATGATTAAGGATAATGAGCATTTTTTCATGTATCTGTAAGCCATGCGCCTGTCTTCTTTAGAGAAGTTTCTCTTCAAGTCCCTTGCCCACCCTGAGATGGGATCACTTGTTCTCTTCTTGCTAATGTTTGAGTTCTCTGTGGATTCTGGTTATTAAACCTTTGTCAGAGACATAACCAACAAATATCTTCTCCCATTCTGAGGGCTGTCTGCTTGCTTTACTTACTGTGTTCTTCGCTGTGCAGAAGCTTTTTAGTTTGATGAGGTCCCAGTAGTGTATTTTTGATGTTGCTTCAATTGCCCGGGGGATCCTCCTCATAAAATATTTGCCCAGACCAATTTCTTCAAGAGTTTTCCCTACAATTTCTTCTAGTATTTTTATAGTTTCATGTCTTAAGTTTCAGTCTTTAATCCAGTGAGAGTCTATCTTAGTTAGTGGTGAGAGGTGTGGGTCCAATTTCAGTCTTCTGCAGGTCGCCAGCCAGTTCGTCCAGCACCATTTGTTAAATAGGGAATCTTTTCCCTACTCAATTGGCTTGTCAAAGATCATATACTGATAAATAGTTGGGTTCATCTCTTGGTTCTCTATTCTGTTCCATACATCTACCTCTCTGTTTTTGTGCCAATACCAGGCTGTTTTGATCACTATGGATTTATAGTATAGTCTGATGTCTGGTAGCGTGATTCCTCCTGCTTTGTTTTTATTTCTGAGTAAAGTCTTGGCTATTCAAGGTTTTTTCTGATTCCATATAAAACAAAATATTATTTTTTTGAGATCTTTAAAGTATGACAATGGAACTTTAATAGGGATTGCATTAAAATTATATATTGCTTTAGGTAGTATGGACGTTTTAACCATGTTAATTTTTCCCAGCCATGAGCATGGTATGTTTTTCCATTTGTTAACATTGTCAGCTATTTCTTTTCTTAGAGTTTCATAGTTCTCTTTATAGAGATCTTTCACATCTTTTGTTAGGTAAACTCCTAAATATTTCATCTTCTTTGGCACTACTGTAAATGGAATAGAGTTCTTGACTATTTCTTCAGCTTGACTATTGTTGGTATATATAAAGGCTACCAACTTCTGGATATTGATTTTGTAACCTGAGATGCTGCTATATTCCTTGATCACTTCTAAAAGTTTTTTTTAGTAGAATCTCTGGTGTTTTCCAGGTATACAATCATATCATCTGCAAAGAGTGAAAGTTTGATCTTTTCTGATCCTGTGTGGATACCCTTGATTGCCTTTTCTTGCCTAATTGTG